CTACCCCCCACCCTCCGCCTCCCCCACCCCTCCGCTCCCCCCACCCCCTTCTACCCCCCCCGACCCTGCTACCCACCCACCTGCCTACCCCCACCAGATATCCTCAGCTCCCAGACGTCCACTCTGGGTGCCCTGGGGACCAGGCCTGGACCTCCTCAGTCAACACTCGCCCCATGCGTGGGTTCACCGAGCCTCACAGCGTTCAGCACTTCTCCCCACAAGTGACCCCACACCTGGATCCACTGCCCGAGCGTCCCCCCGAGCTGTGCTATTTGACTCTTCCCTGCCCCCCCCCATGTCTGGGGCTGCAAGCGGTGCCCGGGACACTGGAGGCCTCAAAATTAAAAGCCGGGATTTTAATACAGTCGCTGGCATAGCCTCATTGTTCAGAAAGTTCATTCCATGAAGCTGCAGGGCACTAACCCGAGCACCTGCCAAGACACGAGGGGCAGTGGGGTCTGAGCGGGGAGCTTCAGGACCGGAACTGGGAAGCGGCAGCGGTGAGACGCTGCTCTGACTATGCTTTCTAACGAGGAATTTCAACACCGGCAAGTCAGCGGTATAGACGTGGAGCTTGCTGGCGTGTCTGGAGACAATCCCAGCCCGCGTGTCACTGCTCCTGGGAGGAGAACCTGTGATGCGAGCTGAGCGGGGCCGGGGACCGGGGCCGTGGGCCGTGGGCTTGGGGATGCCGCACTCGTCCTGACTGGGCTCTGCGCCGCCCAGGGCCCCGCCACCCGGCTCTGTCCGGACGAGACTGAGAAGTGCACTTTCCTCTGTAAAATTCGCCGCCGCCTCCGCGTCTCCTGGCTCCCGGTTCTCCCGCAGCAGAGCCTCCGGCCCCAGCTCTCCCTTCTCTCCAGATGTGAGGCCCACACTCACGGGGCCGCACGCTCCCATTCATCCAGCCCTGAGCAGCCAGCGGCTCTGCCTACACGGGCTTTTCTCCCCAAAGCCCGCCACCGACAGTAATTGCAGCTTTCTCTCCGCCCCCGCTCCGCCAAACCCCCAGATCCTGCAGCTCTGCGCCCAGCGTGAGCAGGGCCTGCACCTCCCTGCAGTGAGGCAGCTGCCTGCCTGCGCCTTTGTTTTGACATGTGTGCTGGGAAGAACGACCCAGCCAGCAATGGGCGACCACTAAGTAAATGGGGCACAGGAGGGTCCTCAGCCAAACTGGCGGCCGATGTGCTTTTGGGGAAGAATATGGGGCCCTGACAAACAGATGGGCTTTGGCAAAGCAGGGCGAGAGCGCCTCTCACTCTTGTCTCAGGACCGGACCCCTGAGATGGGAGAGCCACGTGGCCAGTCCCCGGCACACCTGCTGTCTCGGGGCAGGGGGGGGCCTCCGCCTGCTGCGCGGCCGCGCACCTGCTCAGCACGGGGGCCGCCGGCTGCAGCGGGCGACTCTGCCCAGTGGACAGTCAGCAGCGGGGACAGTGACCCGCTGGCTGAGGCGGCGTCGGGAACTGTCCGTCGTTCCCTCTGAGCAACCGCAGTTCTCACGCTTCTGGTCACACACCACGCAACAGAAAGGCCCTTTAAGGGAGAAATGAGCACCTTCTCAGACTCAGGGCCGGTCCTCACGCCTGCGCACACGCCTGCGTCCTGACAGCACCTCCCTCCTAACCGTCCAGCAGGAGGCGCTCGACACGCACTTTGATTTGGACCCAGGGGGTTTTAAGGGTTGGAAGCCCTCCTGTGAAACTCGCTCACGGCAGCTCTGAAGCGGGGAGATTCGGGGTGCCTGCCAAGCGCCCCGGGCTTCAGTCCGCAGAGAGGACGTGGACACCGTGCACGAGCTCTCCTCTGCCCCACCTCACGGGAGAGGGGACCCCAGGACATGACGCCGACTCACTCTCGGCTTCACAAGACCAAGTCCGAGCCCCCGGGCGCGGGCTGCACACACAGCCGGAGCCGCCCGCGCCCCTGGGC